AAAGTGTCCGTCCAGTGGAAGCCAAAGCTGAAAGATGTTGCAGACCAATATGTCTCTTTCTGTTTACGTTTCTGAAAGCCATGTTCCCAGGACAGCTGTAAATGAAACACATATTTGTTGCTTGTGCCTTATTTGTTTTGGCTTTTATGTTATGTTTTGGACACTACTGACATGTCTCTCTGAGATAGAGCTGCACTCAGTTCAGATAGAAATTAAATTCTATATCCCATATAAATTTGCTGGTTGATGTGGCTAAACATTCGATGAATAAAAACCTAGAATTAGCATTAAAGAATGAATCAAGTATATTGAAATTCATAAAAAATTATTTGGAAAATTAAATTATTGGTGGAGTAATAGGAACCAAATAAAGACCAGATTATAAGAAAAAGAGAGAAGCACTATCTCCAGAATACTGCCATTAAAAAAAAATACAATTTAAATGTGCATATTCAGGCAAATGGGGGAAAAAACTGCTGTGATTTCTGGATTTGTTTTGACTAGGCATGCAGGCAGATTCTCTTTGTACTCAAATCAAGAATCTACAGTCTCTTTTTCTCCCATTCTTCTGGTAAATGAACAGAGTAAATTTATAGAGCCTTCCAAAAACTAGAATTATGCCATGGTCATATCTACTGCATTTGCTAATAAATGATTTGGACATATCTCTAAACTAATCAATTCTTAATTCTTTATTAGTTTGAAGAGTTCTTAGATGTATGCATGAATACAGAAGGAAGAAAAGAAAAAAATATATAGTGCGAAACTGGTTATTTCTTCTAGAATTTTTTTTTGGCAACTTTCTTTGCTCATTATCTATATTTGCTGAGCTACTTATATCAGTCTTTTCCCTAGACCATTTTTTAAAACAGAATCATAAATGCAATTGTTTATGGAACCACTGTTGTCTTAATAAAAGTAATGAAATTGCATTGGTGTTTTTTAGAACCAACAAAACTTATCACGGAATATACAATAAATAAAATTTAGACTCTGTTCCCACAACATTCCACGATGTTGAAATGCAATCAGTTAGTTTGTGGCTCAGTGTGTTGTACAAATCCTCTGTGGTGACTGTATGATTCAAAGTGTTGGGTAAATAATTTTATTAATTCAGTGGACTAGCATTTTATGCATCATACAAGAACATAAACTTTATATTGTAGAGAGCTGAATAAATGGAATAATTCACATAATAAAGCAGCTGTGTATGAGTACAGTCAGCTGTTGCAATCATGCAGAAGTGTCTAGATTGGAAGGGTTTATGTCAGTGTTGCACAACAACAGTAAAACCTTCTCATCATCACTTGGGCTCATCCACATCATTTGAATTTCTACCCCTCTTCAATCCTTTAGAAAACATTACCTAATTGTCTTCATTCCTGCAGGCCATGAATGGAAAAAACATCCTGAGGTGAGTAGTGCTTACTGTCCTTTCCCCAGCTGACCAACAGAAAATCATCCCCCATTGTCTCTATCTCCTACCTGCCAATAGTCCTGCAGTAAAAAGACTCATCTCCACACAAAAGAGAACAAATTGATAACACACCTGAGTCATGGTTTGTACATGTATTTTATTTGTATTTCAGATCTTATGCTGGCAGAATAAAATCTAACGGTCATTATGGTAGGGAGTTTTCAAAAGTTAGGATTGATTGTAAAGTATGTAAAGGACCACACTGAAATATTTCAAAGGCTTTTGGATGTCATTCCTCAGATGCATTTCAAATTTGAATTCTGATGATATGTCAGCATGGTGGTAATTTTGTAACTAAGTGCTTTTCCCAATAGATGGGACCTTGGCTGCACACCAAGGGATGTAATAAATAAGGAAGAGACCAGATGCTATACTCTCTGGAACAGTGTATTTCAACAGCTGTAATTTTAAAATGTGTTGACTTCAATTCCCAGAATTCCCTAGCCAGGCAAGACTTCCTACCAAGGGAAATGATATCACTAAGATCCACAGAACCCAATGATTCACAGGAAACTAGCTATGCTGTGATTACAAATATATTAAAGCAGAGTCACCAACAAACAAGCAACATGAGATCAAACCAGGTCTAAAGTAGGCCTGAACAGTGGTGCCATTCTACCGATTCAGCCCAGTTCTGGCATATCAGTAGCGCCTAAGATCAGTGGAGACCGAACCGGTTCTCTGAGGAGCTGCTGTTGGGCCCACCTGCCTGCCCGGGCTCCCATACTGACCTTTACTTCCTGCTTTTGAAGTGCAGCTGCTTTGCATGGCACAGATTGCTACATCAGCTGCTGCAACTACAGTAGGAGTGCAGGATTGCAGGTGAGTAAGAAAGTCTCTGCACCTGTGTGAAGTGGGTGTTTGGCATGCACGTACGCAAAGCACACCCACCAATCAGGTGGTAACCTACTTTGAAACCCACCACTGGCCCTGAAGTGTGTAGAGCTCTGTTATAGAAATCCTCTGGGAAGTCAGCAGGTACAATTTTCACTTGCTAAAATTCTTTCTGCTGACATAGTCAGAAACATTTCAGGATTGAGCTGAAAAATTTGCTTCAGAACCTTGGATTAGGCTTTTGCTTATTTGATCAGTGCATGATAAAATGGCATTTATTTCACTGGTCGAATGATCCACTGGTATGAAAGGGCAAACTTTTTTTTAAAAAAAGGCCCAGCAGTGCAAGGACCTTTCCCCAACACGAAGATGAAACTATAGTTTTACCTGGTTCCTCTTTAGCGAATTGTGTTCCCCACCATCCCTTAGAAAAGGAAAATGTTCTTGCTTTCTCCTGGGCAGGCAAAGGGCAACAGAAGCAGGGAAATCAACTACTTAAGGACTTGTCAACCACTACTCAGACAGGATAGCTGGCCATCACCACCCATAGCACAGGGGAAGGAAGAAGCCGAAATCTGGAAAAGGATTCCTTCAGTTGGCTTCTCTTCCTGCCCGAGGGGCAACTAGCTGGCTGCCGGCTGCTGGCTGCCACCCTCTTGCTCACCCAACTACACTAGCAGAACCGGATCGAAGTTGGCGTAAAGGGTCGCAACACTCTTGTTAGCTGCTTAACTCTGTGCTGTCCGGTCATAACTCTCACACACTCACACACACACATACACCCTTCTCCTTGCCAGCCCAGGAGCTCAGTAAGGCTCTCGGGTTGGTTGCCCATTTCTCTGGGCGGCAAGGGAGAAGTCCCCGAGCAACAGCTATCCCGTCCCGTCTTGCCCGGCCATCTTCCTCTGGGCGACACATGGGAAGGATTTGGACCGCATCCAGACCCGCCCCCAATCCTTGCATTTTATCGCCCCAGATTCAGGATAATACAGAGGAGGAAATAGAGGCGGCTAAATTTTGTTATTCCCAACGCGGCCCTCTGGGGAAGAGGCAGAGAAGTGGTCGAGGCAGATGCTTGCCATGTCACCAGAGGGAGGGGGCAGCGCGAGAGTGTCAATCTCCATCTGCCGCTCCTCGGCCTCCGCCCTACATGCCCCCCCACCCCACGCACCCTTCCCCCAGTAAGGTGGGGGAGGGGTTGGGCAGAATCGGGATGGAGGGTTTTTTGTTTTTGTTTTCCAAAGGAGGGCGTCAAATATCTCCCGCGAACTGAATAGGCTTTAATAAAGCAATTACCTGCTCAGCTTTACTTCCCTTGTGAAAGTCAGAAGCCGCGGCTTGAACCCGAGATAGTGCTAATCCTTCTCCCACAAGGCTCCTAACCTCGCCCCCCCTTTGCCAAGGAGACGCATTTCGAGCAAGCAATAGTCTCTCCGCTGCCGGCCCGGACGGAAACGTCTTCTGCTGAGCATGCTCGATAGCATGTGAAGCTTTTGCCCGTACTCTGCCCTTACTTGAGCGAAAAGATGAAACGGTGAGCGAAATATAAAGAAGTCTACTGAGACTTTTCGACCAGGAGGATAAGCATTAATATAATTCGACTGCAGCTTTAAGTTGCAGCAGAGGACTAAATAAAAGCAGGGAGTGGGTTTTGAGTAAGGATCCTAACGACACACCACGAGGTTGCGCTGCTCTTTTCTATGGTTTTGAAAATTTTGAAGTCTACAATATTACTTATATTCTGACCACGAGCTCAGAAAAAGGTGCAATTTTGGTTACATTTTAAATATTAAGTTTTAATATTCTGTAGTTTGCTTTTAATATTTGCTTCAAAAAAGTCTTGATATGTTTCAGGTCAGTTATTAAAGCTAACTGAAAATCGTAAATTATGTAAAATAGCAATCGACAGGACGTCCGCGAATCACTTTTAACCTGTGATCCTTTTAAGAATTTACTTCGGCTTTATTTGTCGGTTATTTCATCTAGGAACTCATTCAAGTCAATAATTATTTGCCAACTTTGCTTTCCGTTCAGATATTTGCTTGAGCTTTTTATTATTTTCCAATAGTCCTTCAGTTTAAACGATCCTTATAGAAAAGTGTAAACAATAACAAATAAACAAGAGGCTTTACAACTCTTAAGCAATGATTCGGAAGGATTCTATGAAAAGGGTTAGTGTTATGAAATCGCAAGAGTTTCCAATACTATTCTTCTGATCCTGCTGAGACCTTGATAAATTTGCCTTCACTACTTGCTTCTGCGACAAGTAAATGGCTAGACACCAAAGAACCCTGCGTTGTTGCCTTTGAAGGTTTATTTGGTGTTCCTACTGGACCAATTTGGCTACCTTGCAGTTCCGTTAATGAAAGGCATCCCGTGAAGCAGTCAAAAGCCAATTCCCATTATTCCAAATCTCCCTGCCGCAATAACCTCAGCAGAGGTTGAACCCACCCCTGCCACCACGTCCTTCCTTGGCTGATTGCAAAATAATTTGTCAACCAGCAGCTGCCCGCGGGTCTGGTTACTAGGACGCCAGCGGCTCGTTTGTTGTGTATCCAGCGGAAACGGCAACACGAAATGGCGTCACAAAGCTCGCCCACCACTCGCGTTTCTGGATTGGCCTCGGTTAAAACGAACAGAGGCGAACTTTCGCGGGAACCTTTTCGGCCATTGGACAATCCGGGCACGTAAGAGGCGGGACGTAATCCATGTTTGCAGGTGGCTTGGTTTGTGTGGTTGAGCAAGTGAACTGAGCTTCTGTAAGATAATGGTGAGTGTTTCTTTCCTCACGTTTTGGTAAAGGAATTAACATCTGATAATCTCTTTGTAGCCTTTCTCACGCATTCGCCTCTCCTAGATCTAGTTAACTGAATTAAGTTGCAGCGTCATTAAACCTCTAGCGACCACAGTTTGCAATTCATCCTGAACCAGTGGCTTTCGGATTACTTTTCGCGCCAAATTCAGTCTGATTGGCTGAAGTAAATCTATGCCCTGTTTTACTCGCGGATATTTTAAGAACCCGAGCAAAGTAAAGAAAAAAGAAAAAATAAGTGTTGTATCTCGATCTTCTGAATTTCTGCTGGAAGGGGAAAAAAGTTTCCCCATTCCTGGATAAGTGTGCAGAGAGCTGGTGCCCTTTTTGCCGGTGAATATATACCTGAGTCCTAAATCCCGTAAATCAAGAAATGCCTCACGAGGAAACATGAGGCGATTTGAGTAACATTTATTGTACGGTGGATTTTGTTTCCTCTTTGCAGTGTTAATACTTGTAGTAAAAGGGCACCGCATGAGTGGTTTTCAGCCATAACTTGCTGACTAAGCTCCAGCGGGCTGAAAATCATTGTTTATAAAAGGGCTGTATTTCCACAACACACTCAAAAGTAAACATGGCTTAGTGCCATGTATGACTCCAGCTTTCCAGTCTTAATAAAATTGGGAGGTTTTGCAGTTTGTTCCCATCCTTCAAGTGTTTCTGGTTGTTCCCTTTGAGAAAGCATCCAAATTTACACCTATGTGTAAAGTACATGCAATTGAAATAAGGCTTTAAGGAGGAAAATTTTATGTTTTCTACCAATTAATATTTTTGATATCTTCTTATATCTAAGTGCAGTACAATTGAACAATATAAACACCACCTATAGTGAACATATACACCTGAAAGCAACATGGACCAATAAAGAAGAATATTTGTAGCGTTGAAATGAGGAGTCCTTGGTACCCTTCTGAGCTTGATTGTTTTCTTGCAGATGTTTCATTACCCAAATTAGGTAACATCATTGGTGCTAGTAAGGAGTGGGGGTTCTGTGTCAGTTTATGTTCTACTGGCTTGCTCTGCCAGGGTTGGGGAAGGTGGTCTTAGAGGATCTTTGGTTGGGCTGTTTACTATGGGCTTGTTTGGCGATGTGGAAAATAAGTTCACTGACATAGATACTTTAAATACTATTTTAACTTGCATTTATTGAAGGCATCTGGATACAAAAAACCAGGTTTGAGTGGCTCCCATCGTCGGAAAAGTGGGTTAAGACATGACCTTTCTGAAGATCAGAAGCAGGAGATCAGAGAAGCTTTTGATTTGTTTGATACTGAGGGGTGTGGTAGCATTGATGTGAAAGAACTGAAGGTATATATTAATTTTCCTTGTCTTCTTTAACAATTTAGTTTGAGTTTGATTTTTTTATGCTGCAATATTTTCTTACAACCCTATGATATTATCCAAAGTGGTCTATTAAGGGCCATATCAGGACTAGCATGCAAAATCCAACTTTGCCATATCTGTTCATTATGACCACGGAAGCCCAAGTTAAACAAGTTGCCTTTGCTGTTTCATTGCTTAAATAAACTTTGTGTTAAGTGTCAGAAGAAAATAGTGAAAAGTATAGGTAGTACAGTACTTCAGTAAAAAAATGGTGGTACCAAACCCCAAATGGTCAGATAATTTGACCCAGTGGGTTCATCTAGATCAGGGGTGTCAAACTGGATTTCTTCAAGGGCCGGATTAGCATTGTAGTTTTCCATTGTGGCCGGCAGGATGCTGCAGGAAAGCGTCCCATCTCCGCCCCTGGCTGGCCCACAGACAACTACAACAACTCCCTCCTCGTGCCCCATTTTTGCTAGCAGAGGCATCGCGGGCCAGATTCAAGCATCTCGCAGGCCGGATCTGGCTCACAGGCCTTGAGTTTGACATCCCTGATGTAGATGTTGAAATAGAGGGGATAGAGGAACCTTGCAGCATCTCAGAGAGGAGTCCAGGTCACACTGTCGCAACTAACACCAACTGGAACAGGCCTTGGAAAAAGGAAGAGAATCAATGGCCATAAAATGGGACCCCCAATCCAAAGAGCCAGCTCAGAAGGATACTGTCATCACTAGTATTGAAAGTTTCTAACAGATCAAGGAGCATAAGGATGGATGCACTATCCGCCAAAAGTTATCAACAAATGCAACAAAGGCTATCTCAGTACTAAATCCAGCCTGAAATCTGACTGAAGTGGGTTTTGATGATCTGTTTCTTCCAGAGTTTTAATCAGTTGCAAACAATCTTCCCAAAAAGGGGAAGAATGAAGATTGGTCAATAGTTTTCAAAAACAATTGGGTCTAACAATGGCCTCTTATGGAGGGAGCATACCATACATTTTTTGCTTCCTGGATCAACTCTTGTTTCTTATTTGAATAAGAATTAAATTCAGGAGTTCCTGGAGAAATAGGTATTGTTGTTTCAGAGATTAACAGTTTTTAATCTTCATCTGATGATGTATGCTGGAGCATAGAACTCATCATAAAACAGCAAATGACAAGCATGTGCTTAGAAAAAGCATCTGCTACAGATGAGAAAATAGCAATTCCTCCTGGACAAGGCTCCAAACCACTACTTTCATTAGCAGGCATCTTTAACCTATCATTTTATGAACAGAAACATATACACGTTGATAAGCATAGGATGTTTTTCCAGCCTTTATGCAGCTATCTTATTGGAGAGAAAAGGAGAAGGAGACAGCAGTCTCAGGAAAACAATAGCAAATTGTAAATTAAAGTTAGATAGTAAAAATATATGGAAATGAAATTGCATAGAAATCGTTAAACCAACAGGATATTTAATGTAAGAACAATAGGACAATTTCCATGGATTAAAAAGAAAACAAGCTAATTGCAGGTACCTATTAACTCCTCCGGTGAGACTGGAGGAGTAAAAGCAGTAAAAGATCTAAGACTTAATTATTTATGACTGTATATTCCTTTAATGGTACGTTGTAAAAACTGTATAAAAGAAACAGACATGCTTGAGTTGGAATCTACTCCCAAGCACCATTAAGATATTTAGAGTAGCCTAGAGTAAGCAAAATGGGCAGCAAATAAAGTTAAATAAATGAATACATTATTGTGTATGGAATAAAGCTTTGCAAAGATCTCTGTCTGGTGGAACTCAATTTGGCGGAGCACACCACATTAAGAATGTATAGCATACCTGGGAGAACAATGGGACTAACTTTTCTTTAATCAGGAGCAACTGTTTTAGGTAGAAAAGTTCATAGCTAATTTTTAAGTATGTATTGAATGTGTACAAGTTATTAGCTTTTATATTGCAGGTTGCAATGCGCGCGCTTGGTTTTGAGCCAAAGAAAGAAGAAATTAAAAAGATGATAGCAGACTCTGGGAAAGATGAAAGCAGCACCATAAACTTTGAAGACTTTTTAGCAATGATGACCACAAAAATGGTAACATGGTTTTACTGTCACTATAGAGATATGTAGGTTGCTTGGGGGGTGTTTTTGTTTTATTTTACTTTTTTACCTTTGTTTTTGTAAGAATGAAAAAGATTCTAAAGAAGAAATTCTGAAAGCTTTCCGACTCTTTGATGATGATGGTACAGGCAAGATTTCCTTTAAAAATCTAAAGCGAGTTTCCAAGGAACTTGGAGAAAATTTAACAGATGAAGAACTGCAGGTAACTGTTCAGTTTTGTGTAACATATTGGACTTTTATATCATGTCACCTAAGAGTAGTAATTTCTGCTCTTTATTGGTTTCTAATAAAAGTTTATCTTTTATTCAGGCTTTGATTCATTTTTACTGATTGGTTTTTCTGGTGTTGTTTTCCTGTGTGGTTAAACTATTGAGTCTGTTTTATTTACTTTTTCAGTACACTTCGCCTTGTTCTGATGTAGCTTCTAATAAACAATTCTTGATTTTTTTTACGGAAATGTTATTTTTAATGCTTCAGTTTACAAAGTGGAAGACAATTCAATATATGATCAGAATTTAAAAAGTGAATAAAAGCAAAACAAAAATAAAATAATTAAAAGGGTTTAAATCAATTTTTTATTTGTTTATGAAATTTACTATTTTACTATCAAGCAACTGTGGGTAGGTTATAATGAGATAAAACAATTAAAGAAGATTAAAAACATTAAAACACTGGGCATTAAATTAAAATATTGAATTTAATAATAAAGTGGATAAAAGGAACTCATGCATAGATGTGGTAGAGGTGGAATCTTCTTGATAACTTTTTGATACACAGTGTTACTAACCCACATTTTTGTTGGTTCCATTGAAGGGTCTGAAATTAGGTAGGGACACCTCATTAAGGACCTGATAACACTATTTTGATAGATTTTTAATATGTTAAGAATTAAAGACCTTTATAACCTGCTTAAATGTTGTTCAGTTATGCTTTTTTATCAGAATTTATAGAATAATAAAAAGCATGTGATGCCTTATACAAAATGAGCATGTTCAGTGTGCATTTAGTGGTGACACACTGTTTCAGAATACACAATCCATCTGGACAATTTTCTATTTGTTTCTTTTCCCTGCCTAGTATTTATCATTCCAAGGTCACAAAATATTCTATGAAAAATAGACTGTGTTTGTCCCCTCTCCTTTCACACTTTTTTCCTGAACAATATGACTATTTCTACAGACCAGAGGATTTTCTCAAGCCTAATCTCTCTGTCACTGGTAGAAGGGTGGTGCCATTTTTATATGTTTAAGAGATACAGATACTTATAAATTTATACTTACATATAACTATAACTTCTTACAGTAGATATAACTCCGTCTATAATATCTGAAGTTTAAACATTATAAAAATTATAAGTTAATATTGAGGATGTATTCCATGAAAGAAGTGTCAGATGCTTATAGAACAGTGCCTAATCTTCAGTGGTTCTCTCCTCCCCTTGCTTCCCAGGAAATGATAGATGAAGCTGATCGTGATGGAGATGGAGAAATAAATGAGGAAGAATTCTTGAAAATCATGAAGAAGACCAATCTATATTGATGGTTCTTTACCTTTAAAAATGACTCGAAAATTATAAACATGTTTACTGTTTTATAATGTACAAAAAGGGTATCTGCTTGGGAGGGATTTTTTAAACTAGAAACTTGCTGTTTATATCATTGTGATGAAGTAATGATTCATACATGTTAGAAAGCTTGTTGCACTTAAGAAAACAGGCCTGTTATTTCCTGAATTTGAGGGAGATGATAACAAAACTGTTTTTGAGAATAAAGATATACCATAATATGCATACATTGCATCATATTTGGTATGTAGTTAAATACAAATTTGCTTTACCTGGCCACAAACAGTTTAAATAATGACTAAGCTATAGCTAGTCCTTGATTTACAACAGTTCATTTAGTGACCGTTCAAAGTTAGTGGCACTGAAAAAAGTGAATTATGTCCATCTTTCACACAGCCTTTGTAGCAACCCTATGATCATGTGATCAAAATTCAGATGCTTGGCAAATGGTTCATATTTATGTCGGTTGCAGTGTCCCGGGGTCATTCAATCACCTTTTGTGACCTTTTGATACATCAAAATCAATGGGAAAGCCAGATTTCAATTAACCATGGCACTAACTTATCTAACTTCAGAGATTCACTTAACAACTGCGACAAAAATATCATAAAATGGTGCAAAGCTCACTTAACATAATTTTTAAGCTCAATTGTGGTTGTAAGTTGAGGACTACCTGTAGTAGTTTTTCTACTCTGTATTGCTATAAGCATCGAAGTCAGAACTCTTTATGAAAAAGAATAGTAAAGGGAGATTAAGAAACATTAGGTGAATAGGAATCTGTGTGCATGTCTATGTGTCTCTATCTGAGTCTGAACCCCTTTAAGTCAGTGTTGATTTCTGGTAACTGCTTGAACAAGTCTCTGCAGTTTTCTTAGCAACACTTTCAGAAGTCTTCAAAAAGAGGGAAAAACTGATCTAGAAAACTACAGACTAATCAGCTTGTCATCAATACTTGAGAAAATACTGGAAAAGATAAACAGTGGACTTGTGCACATCTAGAAATGAACAAGGTGATTATTAGAAGCCAGCATGCTCATGTTTGACATGACCTGCTTTTAACCCACCTTATAATGTCTTTGCTAATAACATGGCTAAATTAGTGGATCAGGAAAATGATGTGGATATAATAAATTTAGATTTCAGTAAAGCATTTGATAATGTAGATCACAGCCTACTTGTTGGTAAGATAGGACAATGTGAGAGAGACTGGATCACCACCAGATGGGTTTGCAGTTGGCTGACCAAATGTACTCAGCATGTAGTCCTCATCAGAACTACATGGAACACAGGTGTCAAACTTGTGGTATGTTGCTGTCACGTGATGTTTCACAACATTTTTCCCTTTGCGGAGCTGGGGTGGGCATGGCCTGCACTTGATGCATCCAGCCCGTGAGCCGCCAGTTTAACACCCCTGACATGGAAAGAAGCATGCAGTGGAGTATCTCAAGGTTCTGTCTTGGGCTCAGTGCTCTTCAACATCTTCCTAAGTGACCTAGATGGGGGAATAGAAGGGATGCTCATCAAATTTGCAGATAACACCAAGCTGTGGGAAATTTCTAACATTTTGGAAGATAAGATTCAGAAGGTGCTTGACAGACTTGAACACTGGGTTCTAGCCAACAAAATGCAATTCAGTGGTGAGAAAAGTAAGGCAAGAAAAACCAAATGTAGAAGTATAGAATAGGTCATTGATGGTGAATCTTTTTGGCACTGAGTGCCCAAAGCACAATCAGATTTTTTCTCTTGATGCATTCTATAGTATAGTGCTACTTCATTCAAGATCTTGTTAGCTGTTGTGTAGTTAAAGGATACTAAATTAAGACCTACAACATGTCTCAGATTTCTGTAATGCTGATAATAAAAATTCTTTTCTTCTCTTTAAGCATTATCCATATGGCAACCTGTAATAAGAGTAGTATTTTCTTTACCCTCAGTTATAAAAGATTTCCCAAACTGTTTTATATGTCTGAATAGTCTCATAGGTCTCTTTCAGCTTTGTTTTCAAAAAAGGAAAAGTAGTAAATAATCAATTGTGGGATTCATTTTAAAATATATATATAAACAGACATTTTGGTTATTCAAGTGCCTAATCACTGTTTAATGATCAAACTGTACTAGATTCTAAAGAAAAAAGACTAGAAGTCTCGCAACTGATTAGTTTTTATGTTGTAAACTGGCAGGAGAAAGATTGATTTTAAGTCCCATGGCAGAGAGTCTTTGCTTAAGCCTTCACTTTTTTTCCTACAAATTTCCTGTCAAATCCACCTCAAATTGCTTAATCTTTTAGAAGAAAATTGCTACATAAAATTTTCAACACCAAAAAACAGCTAAACAATTATCTGCCAAACAGTGGAAAACACGTTGAAAGGATGATTCAGAAACTGAATTTAGCATGTGTCCTTTGACAAGTTTTTCATTGGGTTTTTCATCCGATTAACAGATAATTGAGCAGCAAAATTTAGTTTGCAAAGAATTGCCATTGCATTTTCTTACTATGATCTTACTATAAAGCTACAGAACTATTTCCTTGATTTTGGTTCTTGCTTAACAATAAAAAATTACCATGGTCACTATAATGAATAAGCTAGTACAATGTTTTAATATGAAAAGAATTTTAAAGAATCCCACTGTTCTGACCACTTATATCTATGTTTCACCTGGTATATTTGATCTCAAATTTTGCTTAGTTCTCAATTTGATTTAAGCCACTTCTGGGACTTGGATACCACTCCATACGGAAAATGTATGTGCAAAAGTATTACAGCATTTGAGTTTTCGAAATTTTTATATCATCTTTCAACTTGGATTTAAAAAAATTAAACATCTTTCTGGAGGCATGTCCGCATTTCTTATTTTTTAATGTTAGATGTTAATCTAAATAGAATTAACTAAGGTCTTTATTTCTACAAATATCTTATTTTTCCCCCCAAAATTAATATATAATGGCAAACATTGAAGAGTGACTTTGATATTTTTTTCTGCATTTCAAACATGGTCTTATGCCTTTAAATTTGTCTTTTAACATAACAGACCCATATGCCCAAGCAACTGCTTCATTAGTAGTTCTTCTATTGACAAGTCAAAAGAATGCTATATGACCAGATATTTAGTAACCCATTCATAAACCTTGACACTTCATAAGTTCAGAAATTCTAATAGGTCTGAAGATATCAAAGTAATATTAAAAGAAATTAATCTGGCAGCCTAATCAAATATTGCAATAATAATGCAATAGTGGGGACTTCTGGTTTGAAGGGCTTCGGCGACAGACAGAAATCTGCAATTGTGTGCGGTTTCTGTCAGCTTGCCACTGGAGCGCCCCGAGCTGGCTGGTTTCGGGGCTAAGCCACCCCGTAGAGATGGTGAAGAGGGGGGAGACCGCCAGCAGGGTTGAGAGCCGCATCTTTCCTCAGCTGGCCATTACTCCCTTTCCCGAAGGCGGTTGCAGTGGTGGTCAGAAATGGCCACCACAAAGAAGAACTCGACTGGAAAAGAATGTGCAGGAGGAAGATAAGTAAAAGTTTTGGCTGACCGTGTTAAATTGTAAAAGCAACAACTAAGGTACCCTGGAATTTAAACGTACAAAAAATAACATCGCTCCCAAAGAAGAGTCGGAAGCAGCAAAGGAAAGTGAAAAGGGAAAGGTTTGGCTTTTTTTTTTCTTCTCTCTCCTTTCCTATACTGACAACTAAGAGACTTAAATAAGAAATCAGAAAAATCTGCTTTGACATCAACAGGCAATTAAGCTGAAAATAAAACAAAATGCCAAAGAGATAATAAAGATTTCTGGACATTAAAAATTTTCTTTTTCATAAGCAGGAAGGGAGAGAAAAGGAATAAGGGCAGGATCTGGAAGAGGGAGGAGACTGCCTGGAATTAAAAAGAATCTACAGTAAAACTTCAACAAGACTTCTAAAAGATACATTTTAACTGAAACTTTGCAACTAAATAGTAACCCTAGGAAGAGAAAGTGAAAAAAAAGAGCAAAAAAGAAACAGCTTGGGTGTATTTGGATTATTTGGTGATCTTTGGATTCTTGGTTATTATATTTGAATGACTAAAATCAATTGGGTGGTTGTTTAAAAATTTATACAATGGCACCACTTCTGGATGAATTGAAAATGGAACTTGAAAAATACAAAGAAGATGCACAAGAAGGGAAGGGTTCTTTTGGCTTCGTTTTTCAATTCTTAGAAATGGATATTTGGAACTATAAGAAACAACAAGTAAAGACTGCAAAACAAGAAGACTGGGACAAAGAAGAAGCCATCTTTAACGAACAAGTAATTCTATGTGGGGAAGAAAAAGGAAAGAGGAAAGAGAATGGAGAATTTAAGACTTAAAAAAACAACCAAAGAAAAGAAAAATAATTCAAAAAATAAGTATAATACTGGAAAGCAACAGAAAAGGGGAATACTGAAGAAAGAAATAGAGGTAGAGATACAAGGGGGTAAAAAAGAGAGAGAAGAAGAGAGGGAAGAAGGAAAGGAAAAAGTTACAAAGGACTGGAGCAAGATATAGAGAAACGACCTATTTAGAGATAATGGGTGAAATCTAACTGAAAAAGGGATTCTGTAAAGGTACATAAGATTGTATTGTTATATTAGTAATAGAAATAACTTTAGAAAATTGGAAACCATGTATGATTAAAATGAGGGATAAAATAGTGTAATTTAGTGAAATGTTTGTGAATAAAATAAGTGAAATAAAATAAATGAGAAAATTGAATTAGGAAGGAAGGGAACATTTTAATTAATTAATGTTTTATAAAATATAAGTGAAGAGGGGGGGAATTAACTATGGAAAGCTTATAATTGTTCCATAGAAGTATGATATTTAATTGAAAAGTAATGTTAAAGATGTTAAGACTTTAATGAATATTAATATTAATGATTGAATTGAATTGGAATGGAATATTGTTTTAGTTATATACGTTTATAATTTTTTCTTTTTTTAAGAATACAGTGTGTATTTTAAGAATGTACCAAGCCGAATCCGAATGGAAGTTATGTATTAGATTGAATGTTACAACTTTAGGGAAAAGATATAAAGGCGTCATACTCCAATCAGTAACTATAGGAGAAATTTTGTTTAATGAGAAAAGATAATAGATAATTGAAACAGGACAGACAAAAAATATAAATACAATGATTTGAATTGAGATGAGATAATTAAAATAAAATTGAGAAAATTAACTGGTATCTACAGTTTGGTGATTCAGTTAAATTTTTTTAAATTTCCAATAGCATAATAGATACTAACAGTGCTTATTGTGCAGAAAACAAACTCAGAACTAAGATTGTATGAATCATTTATTCCATTGGAGATCATCTGTGTGCTGTATTCATAATGTCCAGCAAATTCATAATTCTTTTGTCTGCCTATGTCTAAGTTAGTATGTTTAACAAAGACTAAACTATTGTAACTTTTATTATGTTTTCACTACTATATTGTTTCTAATCTATCATTAAGGCAGACACAGATTTTCTCTTGAAATGGCCATCAAAGTACAAAAATCATGATCCAGATTGCCAGAAATTAGACCCTTCTGGGCCAGACTGGAAATTAGATAAGTAGAGATAAAAATATGGAAAAGATCGTGCTTCAGAACACCTCATGTGGAATCATGCTAACCAGATGCTCCAGGGAAGGAAGCATAGTACAAGATAAGGACTCTACCCAAGACGAAAGGGGATTTCTGCTAATATAATGCTGTCACATAAGATTAAAGGATAACTTCGGAAAGATGATTCCCACCTACATTTTTTTTTTAGGTTTACAGTAACAATACAGAACATTTTTTTAAAGTTCCATTTTGCAATTCATAGCGAAACTGACCTTGATTAAAAGTTACTTTATGTGCAACTCTGGATTATTTTTCTAAACCTTATATTTACATTTACAGCATAAAGTTATCATCTTTATCATTCAAAACATAAAACACAAAGCTCTGTTTTATTCTTATGTAGTAATTTTAACAGGACACTTCCCAGTCTCCTGTTAAAATTAAGCTATGATGTACAAAATGCATAAAAACAATATGAACTAGAAAATAATAGAAATGGAAGGCAAGCAATAAGGCAAAAGGATACCTACTTTGTTTATACCAACTCCATTCACTGTGCCTTTCCATATCTTTCTACCTTAGAAATTATTCTATATTATTTCCCATGTAATGTTTTTGTTCTCACCCCTTGAGTTCATGAGCAATATCTGACAATGTCCTCTCCATTCTCTTGTCAGATATTTTGATCTCAATTATCATTCCCTAAGCGTGTAAACCACCTCAACAAAGTTCTTTCATACTAGTCCTATCTTTTGCCTTCATGTTTATTCGGTATCCATTTTTATTACATCTTTTCTTGAATTGCCAACACAACTGAACATTCTCACTGTCTTCAACTGCTTCATTTCTCTTGACATGCTCGACCTGTATGCAGAATACAGGCAACAATGCACTCTTACACAATTGTTTTCACATCCTTTGACAAAGATGTATTCCTTTCAGTCAGTGGTGCGATACAACCAGTTCAGTGAGTACGAGCTTTGCATATGCACGCAGCATTTAGAAATTTTTTAGCTGTAATACTTACCTTCTGCTGCATCCCTGGTGAGTAAAACAGCTGATGTGCAGCAAACCACTCTGCCGCACAAATCAGCTGTGCTCAAAAACAAGGAAAAAGCAGAGGATACAGACGGGTGGATAGAGAGGGCCAAATGATCACTGGAACTACCAGTTCACCCAAACTGGTAGAATCCCACCCCTGCTTTTAACAAAACTACATACTAGTCATCACTGTGCCTCCAGAATATCTTCACGTTTCTTATGTTTTACAAAATTAACATGCGAAAAATACACATTAATCTACTTACTTTTGTTTCTTGCCATCCTGCC